GGGGGGCGGGATGGGGAGATGGGGCCTGCCTTCCAGGACCTCATCGCTCCCCCCCCCCACAGCCGCTGCACCACTGCGGGCCTCCAGTGTGCTTACAGCCTCTCAGGTGAGGAGTGTTCCCGGGTGAGGGCTGGGGTGGGGCTGGGGGCTCAGGTGAGTGAGCGGATGCCCACCGCCCCCCAGCCTGTCACTGCACCTATGAGAACCGCACCTACGGCTACGGGGACACCATCTACAACACCACAGACGGCCTGGGTGCCTGCCTGGCGGCCACCTGCGGGGAAAACGGAACAATCATCCGGAGGACCTCAGTGTGTGCTCTAAGTCCGTCCACCACGCCTTTCACCTTTACCACCACCTCAGCCCCTCCCTCCACGGGTGAGTGCACCGGAAGCCGGTCCCCGGCCTCGGCCAGGCCAGGGGAGGCTGAGTGGACCCTCTCCTGCCTCCCACGCAGGCTCAGCTCCTACTCCATCCACCATGTGTGTTCGCAAGGTGTGCCGCTGGTCCGCCTGGCTGGACGGGAGCCACCCAGAGCCCAGCATGGCGGGCGGGGACTTCGAAACGTTCCTGAACCTGAGGCAAAGCGGACACCCGGTGTGCCAGGCCCCTGCCGACATCCAGTGCCGCGCGGTGCAGTTCCCCGACACGCCCCTGCAGGAGCTGGGTCAGAAGGTGACCTGCGACCCGGCCCAGGGACTGCTGTGCCTCAACAGAGAGCAGAGCCCCCCGCTCTGCCACGATTACGAGCTGCGGGTCCTGTGCTGCGAGCTCACGCCGTGTGGCGCCTCCCCCTCTCCATCTGGGGCCACCACGGAGACCTCCCTGTCCACCCGCACCACAGGCACCACCACGCCCGCCTCCCTGCCCGGCCCCGCCCCGACCACAGCCACCCCGGGGACCTCGCTCAGCTCCCGGCCCACGCCGGCACCTGGCACCCCGACTGTGGTACCCACCCACCCGGGCGGCAGCACCGTGACCTCGGGCTCCACCACCTGCCAGCCCCACTGTCAGTGGACGGGGTGGTTTGACACGGATTACCCCAAATCCGAGCTCGCCGGGGGAGACACTGAGACGTTCGACAGGATCCGGGCCACGGGGGCCGAGCTCTGTGAGCAGCCGCAGGACATCCAGTGCCAGGCCCAGAACTTCCCCGGCTGGAGCCTGGACAGGCTGGGTCAGCGGGTGCACTGTGACGTCCGCTCCGGCCTGGTGTGCCGCAACCAGGAGCAGGAGGGCCCCTTCCCCATGTGCTACAACTACATGATCCGCGTGCTGTGCTGCAGCCGCAGCCACTGCCAGGCGCCCGCCACCACCACACCGCCAGCCACGGCCGCCTGGACCCCCTCCCCAAGGCCACAGCCCACCAGCAGCCCGGTGGTGACTGGGACCTCCCTAGCCAGTACCACGGGGACAGCCAGCATCTCACCGAATTCTCCCAGACACACACAGGTCACAGCCACCACAGAACAAGCCACAACTTCTCAAGGGTCCACGAAAACCCCCAGCTCAGGAGGGGCCATGTCGACGCCTCCCACATCCACACCGGCCAAGGCCACACCCACCACCACAGCAGCATCCACGGCTGGCTCTCCCACAGGACTCACAGGCACGGCTAGCACCATCTCCACAGAGACTCTGGCCACGAGCCCGCCACGGACCACCTACATGAGCCAGCTGTCCACTTCCCAAGCAGAAACCGACAGACCGAGGACGCACAGGCCGCCTGGCACCACGGCGGGGGTCACCGCCAGCCGAGGTCCGACCCCCTGCCCGCCCAGGTGCAACTGGACGGAATGGTTTGATGTGGACTTCCCGACCTCAGGAGTGGAGCGTGGGGACATGGAGACCTACGAAAACATCCGGGCTGCGGGCGGCAAGCTGTGCGAAGCACCGGAGAAGATAGAATGCCGGGCAGAGAACTACCCCGCGGTGAGCGTCGACAGCATCGGGCAGGTGCTGACCTGCAGCCTGAAGGAGGGGCTGATCTGCAGGAACAAGGACCAGACCGGGGAGTTCCACATGTGCTTCAACTACAATGTGCGGGTGCTGTGCTGTGATGATTACAGCCACTGCCCGAGCGCGGCCCCGCCCACCCCCCCCACCCCTCCCCCACCGCCTCCGCCCCCACCCGCACCGCCCCTACCCGCACCGCCGCCACCAGCCCCGCCGCCACCACGGGAACAGAGCCCACAGCCTGCAGGCCTAAGTGCGCCTGGACCGACTGGCTGGACTCAGACCAGCCCAAGCCAGGACGCTTTGGGGGCGACATCGAAACCTACTACCGTATCATGAACTCGGGGGTGCAGCTGTGCACGAAACCCACGGCCATCCAGTGTGAGGCAGTCCTCTTCCCCAACACGTCCCTCCAGCAGCTCGGCCAGGTGGTGCTCTGCAACGTGGACTATGGGCTCATCTGCCGGAACAGCAAGCAGCCCTCAGGCCAGACGTGCCTGAACTACCACATCCGCGTGCTCTGCTGCGAAGAGGGGGGGCCCTGCAGCACCGCCTCCCCGCAGCCAGCGTCCCCCAGCACGGTGCCCACGGCCACGGCCACAGCCACAGCCCGCGGGCCCTCGACTCCGGGCCTAACCCCCACAAGCCCCTTCCACCCCGGGACTTCTCCGAGGACCTCCCAGGGGCTGCCCAGTGCCACGACCCTCCCAGCCTCCACCGCCAGCCACCCCCACACTTCAGGGACTCCGCGCAGCATCCCCCCTACGGCGGGCCAGCGCACCTCCCACACCCTGCCCACCCAAGGGTCCTCCGCCAGCAGCCCCACGTCTCAGGCCAGGCTCCCTTCCAGCCCCCTGACCACAGCCATGGGATCAACCACCACCCTCTCCTCCACACCAGGGTCCACTCACATACCCCCAGGGCTGACCACCAC